TCATTGTGCCATATATTCCCTTCACAATAAATTTCGAGGATCGAGATGAAAAGTGCGACATTTTTACGGGAGAATGGATTCCGAATCTCGAGGCACCATACTACACGAATACGACGTGCAGGGCAATACATGAGCACCAGAACTGCATGAAATATGGAAGGCCGGATGAAGAGTTCATGAAATGGAAATGGAAGCCTGATGGTTGTGATTTGCCTGTTTTCGATCCGTATGAGTTTCTTGAAATTGTTAGGGGCAAGTCCATGGCCTTTGTTGGAGATTCTTTGGCAAGGAACCACATGCAATCCTTGATCTGCCTCTTATCCAGGGTAAATTACATTTAACTATGTATTTATTTATTTTTTTCATTTTTACGAATAAATAAATACGTCTCATATAGGCTATAACATGTTGAAGATCATTCGATGACTAATGGCGGGTACGAATAGAACTGGATAACGAATGAATATTTCACATAAATATCTTATTTGATTTCAGGTGGAGCATCCCATCGAAGCTCATTTCAATGGTTCGAAGTATGTGAGTTACAATTTCACAATTGCCCGGTTTTGGTCACCCTTTCTCGTGAAGTTCAAAGAGGAAAACTCCGATCTTTTCAATCTCTACCTCGATGAATTTGATGAATCCTGGACAAACTATATAGATAAATTTGACTACATTGTGCTCAGCGCCGGGCATTGGTTTCGCCGGCCAGCCATGTATTACGAGAATCACCTGCTCGTGGGGTGCAACTATTGCAAAATTCCAAATGTCACCAACTTTTGGATAACTTATGGCTACGAGAGGGCGTTCAGAACAGCTTTTAAAGCTATAAATACTTTAGAAAACTACAAAGGGATAACATTTTTAAGAACTTTTACACCATCCCACTTTGAAAATGGGGAGTGGAATACTGGTGGGAATTGTATAAGACAAAGACCATTTAAAAGAAATGAGAGTGTTTTGGAAGGTATGAATATGGATCTTTACATGACTCAACTGGAGGAATTTAGAGTTGCAAAAGTCGAAGGGAAGAAGAAGCGATCGAGATTTAGATTGATTGATCCAACACGAGCTATGCTATTAAGGCCAGATGGGCACCCCAGTAAATATTGGCATTGGTTACCTGAGAATGTGAATGTGAATGCAAACAATGATTGTGTACATTGGTGCTTGCCTGGACCTATTGATTCTTGGAGCGATTTCTTGTTTCATCTGTTGAAGATGGAAGGTAGGAGGGTAAAAGTTTCTCTTGCTTGACCAAAGTGATATTGATATTGATTATAATTTTTCATGTATTTATTAGTTTTAAACAAAAATTATTTTATTATATATCTCTAAGAGTAAAAATATAGTAGTGTGATGAGCAACGAATTCTGCAGCTGCTGGTAGGGCTGGCCCTTGGAGGTGAAATATTGTCGGTTTTGAGTCCAATTTTAGATGGTGAAATAAAAACGTGCTCTACAATATCGTCCAACACTCTTTTCAATTATAAGTTGAAATCAAACTTGTTGGTTCCTTAGCACTTTAGATTGCAGGAGAGCGAAAAAAGGATAGTGCATTTAGATACTAAACGGAAAAGTAACAAAACCTTTTTGACAATTGAAGAAAACTCGACAAAATGGTGACAAAAGATTTGTGTATGTGACAAAGTAGAGGGAATCTAAACGTGGGAACGTAAGTTCCTGTACAATTACTAGGTCTAGAAATTTGAAACAGATAATTGTTGTTTACATAGAGTTGGTCACCAACCCTTTACCCAACGCACGACTAAGCTTCCTTTAATGTTTTCTAGGATTAGGTATTATTCATTTCATGCTCTTCGTTCAAATCAAACACTACTTTGTCCATGTGTATGTATGTCCTACATAAATGGTATAATTCTTACAATTTTTTTTCCCCGAAATATCAATATTCTGTAATTTACTAGGAAAATCCAAACAATGAATTTGCTGGAAATGTTCCTAAAAATCAGATGAATCATGGGGACCGTTTAATTAATTTGTCATCTTTAGTTGTGTCTACTACTTTACTTTGTAGAGCATATGAACATGTAAAATAGAAATTGTTTAATTTTTAATTTCTTGTGCATCTAAGTGTTCAAATTATTCATAACTGTTATGTATTCTTAACTCGTTTAGTATGGTCAAGAATTTTAAGTCATTTTTTCTACGTCTACATTTTCATTAATTTCAAGTTGAAAATTCAATCAACGTTTCATATACTCAGGACAAACATTCCATTTCAGAAGTTGGAACTACTTGAGTTACAACTTCACCATTGCCAACTATTGGATACCCTCTTTGGTGAAAACCGAAGAGGCAGACCCTGATGGTCCAACTCATACGGGTCTATTCAATCTCTACCTTGACGAGGTTGACGAGTCCTAGACTAACCATATAGATGAACTCAACTATATTGTCCTCAATGCCGGTACCTGGTTTTACCGGCCACCCATGAATTATGAAAAAAGGCGCCTTGTGGGCTGTCGCTACTGCCAATTTTCAAATATCACTGACTTTCGTACGACTTATGGTTCCCGGAAGGCATTTAAAACAGCTTTTAAAGCTATAAACAGTTTTGAAAACTTCGAAGGGGTAGCATTTTTAAGGACTTATACACCATCCCACTTTGAGAATGGGTTGTGGAACCAAGGTGAGAATTGTGTAAAACAGAGGCCATTTAGAAGCAATGAGACTATTTTGGAATGTGCAAATTTGGATCTTTATATGACTCCAATTGAGGGATTTAAGGTTGCAGAAAGAGAAGGGAAGAAGAAGGGGTCCAGATTCAGATTAATTGATGTAACACAGGCTATATTGTTGAGGCCAGATGGGCGCCCCAGTAGATATGGGCATTGGCCAAATGAGAATGTAGTCATGTATAATGATTGTGTGCATTGGTGTTTGCCTGGACCTGTTGATTCTTGGAATGATTTCTTGCTCATTTGTTGAAGATGGAGCGCACGAGATCCCACATGGAAAGAGCTTCTTTACCTTGACCAAAAAGTGATAGAATATTGAAAACACCCACAACACACGATATTAAAATAAGCTTTCACCAAATATCGATCGATCAGAAAATAAACTTGCAGAATATTAAAGATTGAATACAAAGAATTATTTCAGCCTAAGTCCCGGTGATTCGGCGACCGCATCTAACGCTTACATCCCCCGTTGAATATCCAAATAATGGATATCTGCTCGGATGCACTATTTAGCCCAAAAATGGCAATATGTTACAAAATGTTCTATCAATACTAGATAAAAAGTACATAACACTTATTTCTTTAACAACAAACTACAGATCTATAAGGAATCACTCAAGATACTCCACAATCACCTACTGAAATTGCGACTGCAAGAAAACCCTTATTCTCACAACAATCACTCAGAAATACAGATTATAGAGGCAGACAAATATATTGATCTCAGTTTACAAATTCATCAAGAGAGATGAAAAATACAAAGATCAAATCATAATCTACAAGAATAAGGTGTCTCTCATTTGAACCCAGAAGGTTGGATGAATCTCGAAAAGCAGAGGAATGAAAAATATATCTCACAATAATAAGGATAGAATCCAAGAGCCAGAATTTGAACATGTGCCATCATCTCGTAAAAACGTATCAGCAAAACACGACTTTAAGCCAAATATTCTGGGAGCACATCATTGATTAGGATTCGAGCCTCAACAATCTCCACCTTGCTACCAACAACAATACTCCCACCGTCCCATTGAAATATGCTTGCTTCCTTTTTCATTTGTTTCAAATTATATATCACTTTCCTTGTTGAGAGTTTGATTTCTTAATTTTCTAATATGTTCATATGTAATGTGTATCGATAAATATGAACTTCTCCTATTTAAGATATTATTCAACTATATATATCAAATAAAATGTAAGTAAAATTTATTGTTCCAATTATAATAATTATATATATTTTTTTTAATTTGTGTAAAAATGAAAGCAAATTTGACTAAATGAGTACTTTTAGTCAAATTAATTAATCTTGAACAATAGTACAACAATACTTACATTAGGAACATAGAAACGATCACCTTCTTATGATTCATCTTCTTTCAATCCATCTTCTCTTTACTCGTCCTTATCCTTTGGCTTATTGGCACAATACTCCCATAGTATGGACCTATTGACAAATACTCCTCTACCTTTACGAATTGGCTGAAAGTCTCTCTACATGACGTTTGAGGTGCAAAAATCCCCCCATTTTCTTCCATTTTCTTTATAAAGTCTAGTGAAATGACGAATATATCCTCCTATTTAAATAGAACTAAGAAAAGAAGAAAAAAAAAATTAAAGAACCAATTTCAACTTTAGTCCATATTTTAAAAAAAGGCAAACGAGTCCCAAATAAATAATTTAAAAAATCCCACTCTCTCCTCCATCTTCCTCCACAACCATCAAAGTTGTTTGCAGTGTGACCCATTATCAAGAATTGTGAGATTTAATGTATTATTTTGCATATGAATTCGGAATAGGAATACAATTGGATCGTACTTAAAATATTTTTAATTTACTTCAAGTGAGAGAGGGTTAAATAAAATTGAATTATTAATTGTCAAGAATACACAAATCATACTAGAATACATAGGTTAAGAATTGGAAATAGGATAATAATAGGTAAATTTGAAATTCCAATGCATTCATCTTATATTTAATTCAAAACCATTTTAGATAATTTAGACACAAACAAAATAAATGTATTTTTTGTTACGTAAAACTCGAGTTGATACAATTCAATTTAAAGTTTATTTCTCGTAGAACAATGCTTTTACTTATTAAATTATTTGTCAATGCTTCAGTAAGGTTATGAGATTTAACTGAACATGCACAAATCACAAAATAGTCTTCAGCATTTCCCTTCAACAATATATCACTGCTGCATCTTATTGACCACATGTTTATTTAATAATAAAAATTGTTGACCCAAGAAATGTATTGCTGATGTGATCAACAGATTTCAAGGTATCTCACATTCACGCAAGCTTCATTCTTGCACACTAGGACAAATCGTTAGTCGCACGTGGCTTTTTTCAGAAGGGGGTGGAGTTAGCCGTGCACACTCCGACGATCAAGTCAGGTGGAGTGATAATAATATGAATGTGGGAGAGCTTTAAATGTGAGCATCCTAATATAAAAATGGGGTCGGCTTTGGGGGTGAAATAAGTAAAAGATGGGATTGCAAGATTATAACTTTTAGAATCTAAATTTACATTACCTTTGAACGTCACTAAGTATGAGCTTTTATATTTGGATAGGATGAATGAAGATCGTTGGATGACAATGCATGTGGCCTCATTCAAATGATTGACCTCTCTAGTCATAGACGTCAATCAATCACAGCCTTAAATGCTAATACCATTTGCGTATCTTTAAAGCTTAGTTTGCGGCTTGGACTTGACCAAATAAGTTTGCGACGGTGGTAGTGGCAATGAGTTGTCTTGTCAATCGCGTGGTACAAGATCTATTCAAGATCTTATCACTGCCTCGTCCAGGATCGGCTCTTGCAATATGGTCTGCGTGTAATGGGGTCGGTCCAGTTTTTCTATACGGGGGAAAGCGGGTCGTCTGAGGGTAGTGGATCCCCCATCAGATTCGAACCGTTCGCCACGTAGGTTAGTCGAGGCCACTTGTGAGTCCTAGTTTTGCAAAGCGTAACAATAATCCCTGAAATTCCAGTATGAGTATTCATATAATGCATGAACTTTCAAATTGAAAAAGAAAAAGATGTGATTGTAACCAGGGGCGAATCCAGCCTTAAAGTCCAACTAGGGCGGAGACACTATTGACCGA